GTCTTAAATCACCACATTAAGATCAACTATTTTTACATATAGTTACAGCTAACAAAGCAGGTTTGGTGTCTCCTGTTAAGGTGAGGGGCGGTACCTTGTTAATTGCCATGGACATGAAATGATCCAATAGGAAACGAGCTTCAACCAGAGTGCAAGAACCAATCACAGCAGAGACGTCCACTGTGTCACCCTCCTCCTGCAAAAAAACTTATTTACTTTAATTATTTTGAATTACTGATTCTTCAGCAAATAAGTCCTAAGCAGGCTTTAGTATTTATGTGGCTAGTTAAGTACAGTTTGGCCTAATAAAGCCTCCAATGTAGATACTCAGGCTATTCAAAAGCCTCGACTCAACTCCTCCAAACATACTTCAGAGCCAGCAGCCCTTCTTACCTTGGTTTCCTCCATCTGCATGATGTTGGCCTGACAGTCGGCGATGCTGTCATTAATGTAATCAATGTTGGCGGTCAGAGCATCCACTTCCTCGTTGAGAGGGAGCACGGTCTTCTCTGCCTCCAGACCCTCTCTCAACAGCCGGTCCCGCTTCCTGATCACCTTCTCCTTTCGCTTCGTCAGCTCCTCTCGTTGCTGTGTTGAAAATATTAACAGTTATTTAAGTCTATTTATAGAACAACTTCTGAATGTGATCAATGTTGGAATTGATGGGGAAGAGCAGAAATGAAAGATATCAGATGATTCAACTGTTTATTGTTTTACCTTTCATTCTATTTTTAAATCATAATACACTAATCATTAGTTTTGCTAATGCTAAAGCATTTTGAAAGTTAGCGAAAGCGCTAATTAGAGTGCTAATATGTTTTAAGCCTATTTTTTTACTATACGGACCTGAAAACAAGAACAATTTTACAAAATTCACATGAATCAGTCTGGCCATTAAAAATAGCAGAACTTTGAAACGGATGTGTCTTGAGTTGTCACCAACACATACCAAGTGTATTTAAACATATGCTTTAAAAAGAAAATTTAACAGGACTGCATCAAGCAGCGGGTCTTTGATGAGCCTGCTATATTAAGAGAACTTTTACACAGTCTTATAATAACCTTCAACCTAATGTAATGCATCATGTCCTCTTTTACTTTATTAACAACAAAGATAGCAAAGCTATTACCGGGTTTCTGTTGGTTTCACCAACTTGAATTTAAGATTTTTAGAGACCATTATGAGTGAATTTAAGATTTATCTCCACAATAATAAATAAATGTTGCCTAGACAACTAGTGATAAATTAGCACACACCTATGTTAGATGTAAAAAAAAAAAGCTAAGTAGCTAGCAAGGGTCTGATAGCAGTGAGTTACCAGTAAACGCAACAGTTTTGAGGTTGAGTGTGACTCAAACTTTTGCCTGAAAAAAAAAAGAAAATTAAGAAAAAAAACAAAAAGAAATACATGGAATATGCTGGATTAAATAGTCCTGGCATGACAAAATTTAAGATTAACGCTTTTAAGGCCAACTTTTTAAATGAATTTCAGACATGAGACTTTAATTTTAGATACATGAATTTAAGACTTTTAAAGGATGTATTAAACTTTCAACAACCCACAGGTGGTGTTCTGGCTCTTGTCAGCTTCATTTAAAACCAAAGCTGAAATAAAACATCCCACTGGGTGCGTCATGACTTCACCTTGAGGAGACGGTTCATGTCGGCCTCCATGTTAGAGATGGTCATCCTCTGCATTATGACGTCTGAGATGCGCCGCTCCAGGGTCTGCCATTTGTTACGAGCGACTCTGGTGGAATAAACACCAGCTGTGCGCCTGTAGGAGGACCTGGACACACGGCATCGGCCGTCAGTCATTCAGGCTCCTCAGTACATACAGTATAAAGACACACTTCAATTTGAAGCTTGAAACTTTTTTTAAAAGAGAAGAAATGTGAATCATTTTCCTTAAACGTCACGATAATGCACTATTTGGTGGAAATGTGTCGAATGTAATTTGTGGTTATAAAATGATAATATATGAAAAAGTTAAAAGAGGGTACTGTATTGATTAGATGAAATCATATTCAGGTTCAGTTATATCTTGTTAGTAGGAACCTAAGAACCATTTGTAGCCTCACCATGTGCCGTTGGCAGCCGTGCTGCTGGAGGAGTAAAGGCGTCCGGAGGGCGGGCGGTGGCTGGAGTCCTGAACCTCCGGAAGGTTGACTTTCCGGACCACTTTACCTGAGGTGGGCCTCACCTGCCTTCTCAGAGCAGTCACCTGACAAACACACACATGCCAGATATGAGCTGATGCAACATGGGATCGCTACAAGTTGGCGAAAGAGGACAATACTAAGCAGGGCCGGATTTAAAAGGATGTGGGCCCCTGGGCTGGAGACAGTTTGGGTGCCTTATCCACTTACAAATGTAAATTACAGTATATGATTTATGTAATACTATAAATCAGTAGGTATGCGCTGATACATTGTTGGTTTAATATATCTTCTAGCCAATAGCTCCATGTTATTCTCAAAGAAACTGAATATAATATTGATTTGGTATACATTTTGTGTTTCTAGAATGATTTATGATGCTGTTTTAATAGATTTCTTTGAATGTAAAGCACTTCGCAACATTTGCTTAAAAATGTTCTATGTAAATAAACTATTATTATAACTTCATGATTTTGAAATACTTGATTATTGTTTATATTAATAAAATATCAAAATGATACAACTCATGATTTGGGCCTATGAGATTTATACAAAGTGTAGTCTTTGCAAAATATGCATTCATTAAAAAACAGGTGGAAAAAAAAAATGTTAGGGACTCCCCTTAAAAGTTGGCGCCCTGGGCTACTGCCCCTTTAACTCTGGCACACTCACCAAGTATTAGCAGCACTGTTGGCCTTGATATGAATAAACATTTTTACAGAGGAATTTTTTTCCTGCTAAATAAATGCATTAAAATTCAAAGTTGGATTTCTTTTATTTTTTATCTTAAGATTCTACCATTAAATTAAAACTAAATTTTGGTCTGTAAAGCTTTTATAAAAATTTGGTGGGACTGCATTTTCTAAATTATATGCAAACCTCTTTGAAAAGTTAACCAACTACATGCTTGATACATAACCAATCACAGCAGGGAAGAACCCCCCCACCCCCGCCAGCCTGTTAATCTTCCACCTTTTGTTCTCTCTCTCCTCACCTCCTCAGTCTTCCTCCTCAGAATCAGCTCCTGCTGCCTTTTCTGAGCCTCCAGCAGCTTTAGTTGATGCTGAAGGAGAAACAGTGTCGTTATCAGCAGAAGTGGTTAAAAAAACTGAAGCATTTCCTACATTGTTTCATGTTGCTGCAGCAGAGTTGCATTAAAACAGAAGTGAGAAAGCTGACCTCTTGCTTTCGCTGGTCCTTTTTCAAAGAGGCAATTTCTCTGTTCCTGCGCGACTCATTCAGTCGATTTTTCTCCTGCTGCTCCTTCATTTGCTTCATAAGACGAACCTGAAAATATCAGAACACACTAAAGTTTACATAATGCATGGCAAGAAAATCTACACCTGAAAAAAAAAGCTGTACCTTTGTCTTCTTCATTTCAGTCACATCCATCTGGAGCTTCTTCAGCTGCTTCTCGTACTGTGATTGGTTCTTCAGCAGGCGGGCGTGTTCCTTCTGAGCCGACTGGAGCTTCTGAAGCTCCTTGTTCATGACGCTCAGCTTCTTCTCATATTCAGCCTTGATTTTACGAGCCTTGTCCTCTGTGCCACTTTCCACAGAGTCTTTAAACGTCCAGCACAAACAAGAAAGGTGGATTACAAAAAGGACAGGCTGACAAGCTTTTTAAAGGTGCATTACACAATCGCTTATTTTAAAGGTGATGTATTTTGTAAAATACAGAGTTTTTTAGTTTTATATCATGTTATAATCTTATTCCCTCATCAAAAATATACCCTGGGTGTTGATTTGATTTTTTTTTATTATGTATGTTTGACAAATACTTTAATCTCTATGGCAACCATTCATCTGTGCAAACACCTGGATAGACCTAGCCCCCCCTTTGAGGATGAAGCTCCTCCTCAGAGCTGCAGTTTCCAAGCTCCGTGTTACAGAATAGCTTTCCTCCACAAAGCTCCTTCAGACTAGCTATAGCAGCAATTAGCAAACACCTGGTGGAGCTGTGATGTGGAGCATAAGAGCTCATTATAGGAGCTACTTCTCAGTGCAATGGTGGTAAAAACATTATTAAAGGGTTAATAGAGGAGCCATGTTGTGATGACTTCCTGAAGCTGGAGTGTTAGAAACAGGAGTATCTTAAAGAGATAGAGGCCCTATTTCAATGTGTTAAATTAAGAATTTAAAATTTTTTTAAGTCATATTTGATATGTACAACATATTTATCACAACTGACGGTACAATAGTTACTTTATCGTGATTTAAAATGGCGCTATATGCCTGGAAAACACATGATACTGCCCCTTTAATAATTCCTAGAAGAATGTTTGATCTATTACTGTTTTTAAGCCTAAATATAAACCGTTTCCATCTTCTGACAGACACTAGCTTCATTATAGTCTATTTGGAGAACAAAACGAGTTCAATTTGGGTTTTTCTGAGCTGATCAAACATGTATATTTTTCTTCATTGCTGTCACCATCTGAAAACAAGACCACATGCGCCACCTAGTGGATGATCTGTGGGTCTTACTCATGTTCTGAAGGACGCGGTCGCGCTCCAGCTGGGTGTCCCTGATCTTGCACTGCAGCATCATCAGCTTCTGCTCGTACTGCTGCTTGAGCGTGTGCAGACGCCGCTGGCTGTTCTCCAGCTCGTCGATCAGCTTCTGCTTGATGGCGATCTCACATGTGATGTTGGCCAGATCGGCCTGGTAGTTCTCTGCAGCCACAGACATATTTCAGTCTTTTGAAAGGTTAAGAAGTTTGCAGGACTTTAATATCTTGCATCTATCTAACAGCCCAAATATACTGTTGGTATGCAGACTCTGCATGATTGGCATTTGAAATAAAGTGTTTCAACACATATAGTATCAAAGCTACTGATGTATTTGGTGAGTTTGCTCCCCAGAATCTAATATATATTTTTAGTAGCTTGGATGCTAAATGTCGCAAAGAGAGGGGTAGAAAGTGGACAGTTGTGTTGAAGAAAATTAGTTGGCAAAAACGTGTGTTAATCGAAATTGTAATCACAGTGATCAGTAACAGCATCGTAGCTAAATTTGTCATGAGAAATCTAAGAACGTGTTGCTAGAGCAGAATCGTAGAGAAAAACAAAAAAAACACCAATTTCTGAGAATTATTTTTTGCTAAATATAATCACCTTTCTAAAATAAAGGAAGACTGTAATTTTTATTTTTATTTTTTGCCAAAAGTGATTGTGGGTGGAAAAAAAGGAAAAAAAAAAAAAGAGAAAAAGACGTGGCTCTTTATTTAGGAAGGTGACGGTACACTAGAAGAAGAAAGTCTTTCCTGCTTTAAGTATCAGATTCTGAGGTTTTAAAAAGGTAAACTTTGTGGTTGAATTCAGCTTTTTACATTTTGTCTGTCTAAAAGAATATATATCCTACTCTGCTGCACATTCCTTTGTCTCAAAGTATGCCATTTTTGATAACAGCACAGCCTACTATGTTGTCATTTTGCCTTTACTGTATGGGATATTAATTTTGAAACATATTTGCTTCTGATACTCACTCAGAAAGCTCTCTGTGTTGATCACCTTTACCAATTTATCCTTTCTTTGATACTTTTTCTTAGCTGGTACACAGAACCTGAACTGCATGTTAATCCTAAAACATTTGTTGACACAATGTATTTTCTCCACCTAACATTGTCATCAGTAATGTGCAGCAAGAGGAGACCAACACCTCCATCCACATCCAAACTGATTAAACAGACAAATGTGGAGAAAAAGAAATATGGAAGACATCACAGCAGGTTGACCTGCATTAATGTTTCCTGACTGTAAGGGAATAGCTCCACCTTCTGGAGATATATCGAGCACTTTCCACTATTTAATGATCTTCACACCTTTTTCATCCGACTCAGAGTCAGAATCGTCAGAGCTCTCCTCCACATCCATCTCCTCTTCCTCCTCCTCCTCCTCATCCTCTCCATCTTCATGATCACTGGTGTCTTGTACATCCTAAAACATCAAAATCAATGATTTATTTTATCATTAGCAGCATCCACAAGAATATTAAGGTCTCTGTATATTACAGCCTGATCTGAAATCTTGATCTCACCATTTCAGTCTCTTCGTTCATTTCCTTCTCATTTGGTTTCTCCTGTTCGTTGTCAGGAACTTCTTCTTTGTTTACGCTGATAGACACACAGACAACAGTGAAAAAGATGTTCATTAATGACAAAGTGAAGAAAAGAAACTGGCAGCAAACAACCTGGAATTGCAACTTCATGTAAGCAAGGATACAAAACAAAGGCCTTTTTTATTATTTTCGAAGGCACAGTGGTGAACAGAAATATGCAAAGCACATCTGTTATCGAGGGTTTACACTGTCTTTTTGACAAATAAGCTTTTAAATCAAAAAACTTCTAAAACAGCAGAAAATGTTGACGCATATTTGAGATTTCCAATCACATTTTCTTCTAAACCAGAACACTAGGATGAGCAGAGGAAAGACATCGTTTGACACCGTTCTGTTTTCCGTAGCCTTATTGTGGAAAAGACAGTGCATGATGTTAAAATGAGGAGGCTTCCTACTCTGAACAAAATAAAACAGTAAAGCAGCATTTTGGGACGAGTGCAACACAAAATATACACACAAACCAAATTCATGAACCGCATCAATTGGATAATTGTTTTATCCAATCAGAGATCAGCTAACCTGTGAGGCAAAATAAAAATGTGAAATGAAAGATCAGCTTAGTAAAAAAGAAAAGGGGTTTAGTTTGGACTCGTTTTGAGCCAAAGGTAGAACTCCCTAGAATAGTTTGTGACTGGGTTCTGCTGTGTGGAGTCCAGATATTAAATTAAAGAAACCTAAAAATGAACAAATGTAGCACAGCAGGTAGTGAGAAAACAAAGGTTTGAGTTTTAAAATGATTTGAAACAACCGTCCAATAGGAGCAGCATTTGCTTTGCTAAAGTATTCATACTCTTGAACTTCATCTTCTGTCTCATCACTACCACAATGTTCAATAGTTCCTAATGGGACTTTATGTGGTAAAACAAATCAAAATATTTTGATTATACTGTAATTTATATTTGTCATTCATGGAAAAAATATATACTTTCAACATTTTGACAAACTACGGTTTGAAAGATGTGTCCATTTTCCTCACATCATGGCTGCCATCCCAGCTGTTTAACAGGAATTCCTCATTTTCAACACAAAGATGGAAGAGTGGACATTCTCCACTTTCATCCTGAACACTGGTGCACCACAGGGGGGTGTCCTCGGCCCACTTCTCTTCTCTCTTTTCACCCAACACTGTTCCCACATATTTCTCACCTACACCACCATCAAATTTGCTGACATCACCACTGTAAAGCCAGAAACATCCCCGTCACTCAATGTTTTTAACTTCCCCTTTTGGGAAGAGATACCTGGACTCTCAGAGAAATGCATTTGTAAAAACATTTTAAAAACCATGCATCCCTTTACGTACATTTTACCTGATGAACAACTTTAAGTTCGGATAAAATACATAAAACGCTTATAGTTGTAGTGTGACGAATATGTGAAAAAGGTCAAAGAATGTGAATACTTTAGTAAGGAACTGATATCAGTCCAAAATAAATAGGTCAGTGGCATGAAATCAAGATGGAAGCAGACGATTTGGGGCAGGAAAAGGAAGGTGGAAGCTTGAACAAACCTGGCATCCACCTCCTCCAACACCTCCTCCCTTTCCTCCCTCTCTCTCTCCTCCAACAGCTGCTGGAGTCTTCAAGGAGAGAAGGGTAAAAAAAAGAGAGATGGAAGAAGAATGGAAGGAAGAACGGTCAAGTGAAGCGCTACACTTTTGAGTCCAACAGCTTCACAGCAATCCACGTCTTTCACTTTAGACGTCAGCAAAGTGTCGTGGCCACAGCTGCTCTGCTAGTAAAAGTTTTACAAACCATATTTTCAATTTAAGGTTCTACTAGCAGCCAACCTGCTACAAATCATGAAGCTACCACCGCAATTCTTAACAATTAAAGGCATGCCATGTTCGGTTATTTCCTGGTCAACCTAAGTTTAAAAGCAACAACCGCTGTGAATTCTGTCCATAAAAGAAATGTATTTGTAAAAACAGATTTTTACATATTACAAAAAACAAAAAATACTTTAGGCAGAGACCAGGCTGACTAAAAACTAGATCTGCAGAAATGAACTAGAAACGCAGAAGCCACAGCTTCAAGGAATCAGTCAGGAGACAAACCCCACTGCTGTAAACAAGCCTTTAGTGTACGATGGTGTCGAAATACATTTATCTGATAGAATTAGGGCAAATTCACACTTTTGGCATTCTCTGGCCTTTCTGGACAGAGCTTTAAGTTTTGTATTTATTCTTTTTACAAATAGAATACTTAAAAACATGAAACAATACTGTTATAACGCCAAAATCCCAAAGACCAAACAACAATGATATATTCCAACATTAGCTGTATAAAGAATGGGCACAATATGGTTTTGACAGCAATGTAGTTGCAAGTTCTGGAAAAAAAAAATTCAGAGTCAGATAAAAAAAGAAAACCCTTAACGGTTATATTTTTGAAAATGTTGAATACTTTTGTATAAAACTAACTGAAGACAAAATGATCAACTCCTTTGTAAATCTAAATAATCCAGTTGACCCACATCCTTCTGTCGTTACCTTTTCTTTTTCTTTTTCTCTCGCTTCTTCAGTTTCTCCAGGTCTTTCTTAGCAAGCTCAATGATGTCGGCGGTCTCTTTCTCGGGGGCCATCAGGGCGTTGGAGAAGGAGCCGGGCCCCCCGTAGAACGACTGACGGGTGGAGGCGCGCGACAGATTCTTCCTCAGGTTCTCATTCACCGCTTCACTCTCCAGCAGCTTAGCCCTGAGAAAAACATCCAGGGAGCAGAAAACTCAACTTACACCAACAAAACTAAAGTCCAGTCCACTTAAAGCTCCACTTTGTAACTTTTAGAAACAATATGGTTTTTTTTATGGATTTATTAAAACTATCACTATTTCTTAACAGTATAACAAAAAATCTATGAAAAAATAAATAAATAAAACCAGGCTCCTCCTGGCCTGATTAATGGGAAGGTCTATACTTCATTGAAGAAAAACAGTTACACCAGTAGCATCTTTCTTTCTTGGTGTATAATTTCATCTTGTGATTTTATAGCTGCTGATGACCTAAGTCCTTAATGTTGGTTGAGCACTAATTAGAGTGATAAAAAAGTATTATTCTGTTTCTCTAACTTTAGTTTTAAAAAGATCCCTGTGCATTTATTTTCCCACAGTTTTGAAAATAAAGTGAGTATTTTACTTGGTTTAGGTAAATGGACTGAACTTAAAAAATGTTTTTCCAGGCATTTTCACCATTAAAGTGATTTACATCAGAGTCACAGTCAACTCTTCACACTCACAAATGCTCACATACACAAATCAGTAGGCTAATTGGGATTAAGTGCCTTGCTCAGGGGCACATCGACATATGGAAGTTGGAATCGAATCCACAACTCATAAGTAGAGACGACTGCTCTACCCACTCAGCCGCAGTCGCCCCATTTGATATGAGCAAAATGTTAATATCATCATAATTCTAATACTAGAGCTTATGTTGCACTAAACATATGAAAAGTATGAAGAAACGCATCCAGTCATTTACCGAAGATCTTCAATTTCTTTGATGTAACTCTGTATCATGTTTCCGATTTCCTCCGTTCCTCCTTCACCTGGGCGAGAAACAGATTCCTGATGAGGTGTTTGAACAGCGAGTGGAATGCAGACAGGTGCCTTCGGTCCTACCTGCCCTGGCCAGAGCCTGGTTGGCCTGATCGCTGAGCAGCTGGGTGAGGCGAGCCCTCTGGGCGTCAATGGTCTCCTGCATGGCTTTCACCCTCACCCTCAGGTTGCTGTTCTCAGTCTGCAGCATGGAGTTCTCATGGAACATGTCGCTGAAGCTCTCCACGCCGTCCTCGCCCACCATGCGTTTACCCTGCAGGAGAGAGCGGCTCCGTTACATCCCCACAGCGGGAGTCTACGGAAGCCCAGGAGGGCCTCGTCCCAGTTCCCTCTCACCGTCTTATACTCCATCAGCTCCATCTGCAGTCGGGCGATCTCGGTCCTCAGCGCGCTGATCTGCTGGCTGGCCTTGTCCTGGTTCACCATCACCTTGTTCTTGATGTTGCGGGCTCGGTTGGCGTACTTTAACGTGTTCAGGGTTTCCATGAAGTCACGATCGGACGGACTAATGCATGCTATCATAACCGTTTGGCTGAAAAGAGAGTGGAAGAGTTTCTTGGTGATAAGGCTGATACCTAAAGGGGATTCATAGGGGAGGGTGAGGCGCAAGCTCAAAAGCTTTGAAACTGGAGATTTGAGGGGGTGCTGGGTCCAACCAGGCCATGGGAGACTTGAGGGTTTCTCAAACATGCATGAAAGAATCAAAACACTCCAGGTATGTTTTTAATCTGGGAAAGCTCAAAGCTCAAAAAGTCGACATAATTTTGTCATTTTAAATTTGTATTAGCAGTGACAAAGAAAGCCATCACATGGAAATGGGTAAGTTGAACCCCATTTCCACCGTAACCAACTGGATGGACACAGTGGAGGAAATTCACAACATGGAGAGATTTACAGGCACTCTAAGTCAACAAATAGCAAAAGCTGAAGATGGTAATATGTTGTCACCTGTCACTCTGTTCTGTTTTTGTACATGTTCTAAATATTTAGATGGAGTTAAACATTTAGAAGATCAACATTATGCAACAAATCAAAGTAAAAGTCCTAAGTTTAAAAATAAAAAAGACATTTCTGGGTGATACACTTGAACAACTTTACTATCATACGTTTTGGTCACCCAAGACATAACTCTGTGCCAATTAAAAAGCGGATTTGACAGACATAACTTGCACTACTTGCTCTGATTGACATAATGAGTGATCCACCAACCTGTTTCCTCCCAGTGAGTCCTGCAGCAGTCGGGTCAGTTTGGAGTCTCTGTAAGGCACATGAGAAGCCCGCTTGCTTCGGTCTCCTAGAGCACTGATTACGTTCCCCAGCGCCAGCTGAAACACACCCAGGGGAGCCAGAAGAACAGTTATTTCTTCCAGTCTTGATTGTTACCGACATGTTTTGTGTACTAGTAAGATAAAAACTTTACAGGAATTAGCAACGGCACTGTAATTTCATTACAAAATAAAAATCAGGAAATAAGCCCAACTCAAACACAGCCTGTTGTATGGAGCTGTTGTTTCTGTCCCTAGACACAACACTTAACGATGTGCATGTTGGTGTATAAATGTATGCACATCGTTCATCTACTTCAAATTTTATCACAACATTTTGTAGTACTACTGTGATAAATTATGATTTAAAAAACTATCATTTCGTTTTCAGGTAACTGTATGTCTATGACTGCATGACATCACATTCATAGAACCACAAGCTATTGTTGAAAAACATTCACTTTTGAAACAGGCTTCTTCAGGACGTCACTTACTGAAAGTGGGATTTATATCACTAATCTGCTCACTCTAACTACATTTAAGCACATTTTCTAAATGATTGATATTTATTGATGCTCTCGTAGAACAAACAGTGGAAAAGATAGTAAAAACATCTCAGAAAACTGTTTGTTCTTTTCTTTAATCATATATTGAAGCATTCAAGAATCCTTATTGTTATACCAGCTCATATTTGCATGTTTATGATTCAATATTCAGATCCTAGTTTAAGAAGTCTAGTAAATGAGTAAATATAGATAAATATATAAAAATAAATATGTAAAAAGTTTAAGTATAAAGAGTATGCAAAAAAAGTGTATTAAAATTACAATAAATCAAAAGACATTTTTCATTATAAATGATAAACGATGCAATGAATTCCCATCCCTAGTGATTGTGTGTAAATGTGGTTCTGGTGTAAAGTGCTTTAACCGGTCAGTATGACTGGAAAAAACATAATACAAGTTCAGTTAAGCAGGGCAGCATCCCTTCACAGAATCCCTCTATGAGGAAGAAGAGCCACAAATACCAAAATATTCAGCTTATGAGGATTTAATAGCCTTTCAATTTCAGCAAAACCCAGAAAAATGCAACTAGAGGGTTTGGTTCTCAATAAAATAAACACAAAAACTACTTAGCCCTTCGACTTTCAACAGCTTTTATAAAACCATCAATGAGAATAATTATAGGGCAGAATATAGTGTTTCTTTGGGGGGGAGAAAAAGTGCCATTTTCTTTTCTTTTTGATACCTTTCAGGACAGTAATTACATACTGAACCACTAGGTGGCAGTCTACTTCAGGATAATAAAGAGCACAGCTCAGGAAACTAGTGAGGCAGTGGAGGAGAACATACCAGTCCACAGTTGATGGAGATGCCCTCTTTGGCCCGGTCGCCCGTCGCTCCGGTTCTCTTCAGTCTCTCAGAACCAGCCAGGTCCACAAAGTGAAACTTGGCAGTCAGCGTCTCATATTCATCCATCTCCCCGTTTCCATTAGACACCTTATTATCATTCTCACCTTCTTGCTGAAAGATTTATGTACAAATTTAATAAGTGAGAAAACTAAGCAAATTTCCCAAACTAAATCTAATCAAACAATCAGTTTGTATTTTCAATACATGATCATCGTCTCTCACTAACATTGTCAGAGGCACAGACGCGAACTTGGCACAGGTGGATGGTGAAGATGGCGTGGGATCGGGAGCTCTGGACATTCATCTGAGTGCTGGCTGTCGTACGAGACAGAGCGCCCAGCTTCAGGCACTGCATCATCTGCGCACACACACACACACACACACGCATGGACACGAATAGCAATGATTATACATAGAAACATTTTGTTGATTAAACAGGGGGAAATAATTCTGAATTCTACAAAGCAAACATTTCAATGATGAATAAATAAAACTTTATGACTTTAAACCTTGAGGTGTTAAACAGGAATGTATTGAATGAAAGTGATTCATTTATTGTCACTGAAACATCATGGTGTCAATACTACACACAGGTTTATGGTCAGACTAATATATCAGTTATGGGTAATCCTAACTCTAACCAGGCAACATGCACTTTTATTGTTTAGCATTAAGTAAGCTGCCATCTAAGGCAGTTCACACCAAACTAAAGCAAGTTTTGAACCTAATAAAACTTTGCAATTAGTAATTATTGCTGCTTTTGCACCAAAAGGTGACCCAAAAACCTAAGACGTTCACTGAACAGTGATCCAAGTGTTTTGATGCCACTAATGTCCAGATTCTGGCTAAGTTAAAACCGTCCTTCATACAAGCACTTGATGTTTTTGTATTTCACCTCAGTCTCCGAGGAAACAGTCCGTGTGGTCACTCCAACCGTATAGATGCCTCCGTTGGCGTCTTCGTGGATCTTAATGTGAGATTTCTGCTTCATATCTCGTGTGGAGTCAAACAGGTCCAGGACCTCCTCATTGTAAAGCTACAAGCACAGAGTAAAGGCAAAAGACAGAAAAAAAATCTAATCAAGTCATTCAGTTTACTTATATTGCATCAATTCACAAAATATCATCTGAGACATTTCAAGAATAGAAATAAAAACAGAGCAGACGCGGAGCTACAGGGGAGATGGGGG